TGACTGCCCTGTCCCCCTTTCCCTCAGAAAGTTCCAGAATCAGCTTTAGTTCTCTGCACTTTTCTGCCCCGCCAATCTCACTGTTCCTCTTGCTCCTTCCTCTGCCTGTCTGTCCATCTGTCCATCTGTCCAGTCAGGCTTCTCCGGCGTTGCCGTGTGCTGTGCAATGGGGGCCCCTCCTCTCACTCCACAGGGGAGGTCGTGGTGAACATGGAGCCAGAGGTACCCATCAAGAAACTGGAGACCATGGTGAAGCTGGATGCGGTAAGGCGGGTGGGGTCAGTCCCCTGCTGGCTGGGAACATGCAACTTCATGTGACACGTCCTGTGAACCAGACTATCTGCCCTGAGAGAGAAGGACACTAAGAACCTCCTTTGGCATGTGACTGTTGGGGGCTAACCTTGATTGTCCAACCAGCTCCACCTAACACTATCCTGGAATGCACGTGCCTGCGTGCATGTGTGTGTGTAGTGTGTAAATGTGCATGAGTGCGTGCATGTTTGTGGTGTCCATATGTGCTTGTGTGTGGTATGCATGTGTGTGTGTGTGCATGTGTGCATGTGATGTATGTGCATATGTGCATGCATGTGTGTGGTGTGCATATGTGCATGTGTGCATGTGGTGTGCATATGTGCCTGTGTGTGTGCATGTGTGTGGTGTATGTGCATATGCACATGCGTGAGTGTGTGGTGTGTATATGTGCATATGTACATGCATGTGTGTGGTGTATGTGCATATGCGAGTGTGTGCATGCATGTGGTGTGCACATGTGCATGTATGTGTGTGGTGTGCATATGTGCATGTATGTGTGCATTGTGGTGTACACATGTGCATGTATGTGTGCATGTGTGTGGTGTGCGCATGCACATGCCTGTGCATGCATGTAGTGTGTGTACATATGTGCATGCATGTGGTATGTAAATGTGCGTGTGCATGCGTGCATGTGGTGTATGTGCATATATGTGTGCATGCATGCACGTGGTATGCATATGTGCATGTGTGCATATGTGCATATGGTGTATGTGGATATGTGGATGCATGGGTGTAAATGTGCATGTGGCATGCATGAGTGTGGTATATTTGCATATATGTGTGCATGTGTGTGTGGTGTGCATATGTGCATGTGTGCATGCATGTGTGTGGTATGTAAATGTGCATGTGTATGTGTGCCTTGGTGTATGTACATATATGTGTGCACTCGTGTGTGTGGTGTGCATATGTGCATGTGTGCATGTGTGTGTGGTGTGTAAATGTGCATGTGTGAATGCATGAGTGTGATGTGTGTGCATATATGTGTGCATGTGTGCTTGCGGTGTGCATATGTGCATGTACACGTGCGTGCATGTGGGTGCATGCATGTGTGTGCGTGCATGTGCACTGGCATATGGTATGTGTATATGAGAGACAGAGTGAGCCATCACAGTTTATTATAATCACCTGCCGTAATTTTTACTCCAACAAATGACACCATAGGTAATGATTCCTTATGAGATCATCAGTGTCCTTTCCAAAGGGTCCCTGGGTTTTCCATTCCAGCCATTCACAAATGACACTTCCCTGGCCTGGGTCGGAGGAGGATTTCCAGGTGGAAGCTCCTTATTCCTCCTGGCTTTCAGACTAAGACCCTTCATCTGCCAGAGAGAGACCTACCACCTGGGGGTTGGGTGTGGAAGTGGCCTACAAGCTGCAGACCCTACAGGGAAGGGCAGAACATGGGCCAGCCTAGAACACACCCCCTTGTTCCTCTGGCCACCCAAAGAAACATCCTCACTCAGACCCTTTGCAGACTCACCAGTCAGAATGCTATTATTAAAGCAAAGTTGACCTTGAGGGCACAGGGGCTGCCAGCACACAGTAATTTCCATCTCGGCTCCTCCACATGCCCTGTATTGGGCCACTGCCTGCCACTCCAGGCCCCAGTGACTAATTCTGCCCCTGTCTCCTTGGTTCCTCTGCAGACTTCTGAAGCTGTTGTCAAAGTGGATGTGGTGAGTGTGGGGGCCATGCAGGGGCTCTGGGGTGAGAGGGTCCTGTATTGGCAACGGTGTCAGGTCAAAGGGTCCAGCATCAGGGACAGAGCCAGCCCTCACCCCCGCATGATTGGGCCAGCACATCTCCCCCAAGATGCAGTGAAAAAGAGCTGGGTGAGTGCAGGACTCAGTGCCAGTCCTGCCTGGGCCAGTGGATCACACGGGCAGGTCATGACCCTCTGTGGCCCATGGCACCTCCTCCATTAAACAAGACCCTGCCCCTTGGACATAGGTGGCCCCACAGAGCCTTATGGAGCCCAAGGTTTCCTGCTAGCAGATGACGGAATGGGTGGAGGCCCTCGGGATTGTCCAGGCAGGAGGGGCCCATGTAGGACTCTGGACCTGGCCAACCTACAGGCTGAGGAGGAGAAGGAGAAGAAGAAGAAGAAGAAGGGCACTGCAGAGGAGCCGGAGGAGGAGGAGCCAGATGAGAGCATGCTGGACTGGTGGTCCAAGTACTTTGCCTCCATTGACACCATGAAGGAGGTGAGACCTCGGGCAGGGTGAGGGGAGGCGACCCCCTCCACACTCAGACCCTCCTGTCCAGCTTCTTTCCCACAGCCCCCGGAGCTGGGTCCCACCTCCATTCATGTGAGCTTGGGATGGCCTTGTCTCACATCCTTGAAATCCTAGCTCAGAACTCACCTTCCAAGATGATGGTCCCATCTGCCTTCCCTGGCTTAGTTTCCTTTTGTCCTCATTGACTCATTCCACAAACGCCTCTTGGGTATATGCGATGAGCCAGGCTCCATACTAGGTGCTATGGGAGCCAAAAGATGCCATACCTGCCCTGATGGGCCCCCGGTTTACTGGGCAAAATAGACATGTAAACAGAGACTTAGAGGACTATGTGATAACAAAGGCAAATCATGGCTTGAGGGAATCAGGGAAGGCGTCCAGGAAGAAGTGACCTTTGTGAAAAAGGAGAAACATGTTCTCAGAGGCCATAAGGGAACAAATGCTTACCAGTAGTCCTTACGACTCTTCTTCATACTGTTTTATTTTACACATCTTGGTCATCGGCACGTGAATGATTCTTCCCCTGTTACACATATGTGGGTTCCATCTGTTGGCAGATTGCAAGTCCCAGAAAGTGCATTTCTCCGCTCTCTTGTTTGTGTCCTCTGCCTGCTGCCTACCTAGCTCAGTGCTCTGACTGGCCACCTGACCAGGAAGGGCACATGCCTGCAGTTGTGTTTCCTCAGTGGGGCTGGAGCTGATCCAGCCACATTCTCTCCCAGGCCCTTTCTGCAGCCTAAGCTGGGCGTGATATTTATTAAAGCACACATTAAGCTGCTGTAGCAAGTTAGAGTGACGTAAACAAGACAACAGTTTCTTTCTCACATAGCATCTCAGAGAGTGGGGGTTAGGCTGGTATGGTGGCTCAGTGGTGTCAAGGACTAAGATCCTGACCTCTTGTTTCTGACATCTGTAGAGTTGGAGGTGACTCAACATCATGTTCTAATTCAAGTGCACAGGAAAGGTTAAAGAGGAGAGGAGGCATATGCTTTTCTCTTTCAGGGCCCAATCCAGAAGTTGCGCATATCACTTCCACTCACATTGACCAGAATCTAGTCCCATAGCTACACTTATCTGCAAAGGAGGCTGAGAAATGTAATCTTTAGCAAAGTGACTGTGTGCCCAGCAAAACTTCTAAAAAAGCAGAACAGATCATTGAGGACAACTGGTAGTCTCTTCTCCCACCATCAAATTGGCCAGGCTGGAGCTGCAAAAGGCTGCCTGTTGTCTTGTCTCTACTCCTGCAATTTTTACAGACTGCCACCAGGTGGCGGTGGCGACTTAGTTGAAACCCGGTTTCTAGTTTTCAGTAAGATTTATTCTCGTTTCCAGTAGGGTGGGGTGTGCTGAGTGAAAGAAAATATAGTACATGTTCTTACTGTTATACTTTTCTACATTAAAACAATTTATTAATATCACTAAAATCAACATTAAAATGCACTGTATTTTTTAAGTAGAAAATGTAAATATTTATTGCAAGGTATTTTTTTTTATTATTATTATACTTTAAGTTCTAGGGTACATGTGCACAACCTGCAAGTTTGTTACATAGGTACGCATGTGCCATGTTGGTTTGCTGCACCCATTAACTGGTCATTTACAGTGGGTATTTCTCCTAATGTTATCCCTCCTCTAGCCCCCCACCCCCTGACAGGCCCCAGTGTATGATGTTCCCCTCCCTGTGTCCAAGTGTTCTCATTGTTCAATTCCCTCCCATGAGTGAGAACATGCAGTGTTTGGTTTTCTGTCCTTGTGACAGTTTGCTCAGAATGATGGTTTCTGGCTTCATCCATGTCCCTGCAGAGGACATGAACTCATGCTTTTTTATGGCTGCATAGTATTCCATGGTGTGTATGTGCCACAGATGCATAAACCCCTAAGTACCACTAGTCACATTGTACACCTTACAAACTTCTTTAAATCAACTTAAGCAGAGCACATGCTGGATTTGAAATGCAGTGGGGAAGATTTTCTACTTCTAGTGCATTAAGACTGGTCTGGGTCCACAGTTTGGGGTCAACAGACTCCTCCCCAGGAAACCCACCTTCTCTCCTTTGCATCTCATCTTTTGGCAGCAACTTCGACAACAGGAGCCCTCTGGAATTGACTTGGAGGAGAAGGAGGAGGTGGACAACACTGAGGGTGAGCCCTGGAACCTGGAACTCTGCCTCCTCCTCCCCGCCCTGGGTAGCTGGCTCTCCTGCCCACCTCACCACCTGCTTCTCTTTCCCCTCCCGCCAGTCCTCCCAGCCTTAGTAGCCAGGGAAGCAGCATCAGTAGTCTGTGGGCACTGAGTAAGCTAAGGCCCTTGTCTAGGGAGGCTTTTACTCTGACTAGTTCAGCACCCACGGTGATAGACAGACATTTACAGCCACAGAACATCAGAGCTGGAAGGGACCTCAGAGCTCATTCCATCCAGCATTTTCCAGACTCTTTTCCATGAAGAAAATTATGGGTGTTCTAAAAGGAACAAATTAGTTTTGGTCAAATTAGTTTAGGAAAAGCTGATTGAAACAGCTTATTCTGGTGCAGGACTTTTCAGAGCCTTTACTGTGCAAATGTTATTATACATCTCTAAAAGAAAGACACAGTGTAAAATATTTCCCCAGCTTATTGGGTCACAGTACCCTTTCTTCTAAAGCATGCCAGCAGCATCTGCACCTGGTGCTCCACTGCATGCAGTTTGGGAAATGCTAATACAGAGTGTTATTATTATGGACAAGAAGAGGGAAGCTAGTAAGGAAAGTGAGTGGGGGAGGGACTGAGTGGCAACAGGCCTCCACCCCCAAACCCATGCTCCTTCCTGCCCCTCTCTTCCAAAGGGCATGATGACAGTCTTCAGACACCTTCCCAGGCATAAACTCACTGGGGCCCCCAGCACCTCCATGAGGCAGGCATGCTAGGAAGTATTATCTGCATTTGACAGCACATGGACATCCGAGAGTTAAGTTAGTAAAGCAAATTAGCGACAGAGCTGGGTCTCCAATCCAAGCCTTCCTGCTCTGCTCATTTCTGCTCCACCTCCTTTTCTGCTTCTGGCCAGGCCTGAAGGGGTCAGTGAAGGGCAAGGAGAAGGCAAGGGCTGCCAAAGAGGAGAAGAGGAAGAAAACCCAGAGCTCTGGCTCTGGCCAGGGGTCTGATGCCCCTGAGAAGAAGAAACCTAAGATTGATGAGCTTAAGGTGAGAGCCTGGGAGCAGGTCCTTCTAGGGAGTGCGGGGGCGTTGGCGGGGTGGTGGCGGTGATCCTGCAGGTGGGGCAGGATGAAAGCCAGAAACCAAGCAGCCACCCCCTAACGGCCTGGTCTGGCTCAGGTGTACCCTAAAGAGCTGGAGTGCGAGTTCGATAACTTTGAGGACTGGCTGCACACTTTCAACCTGCTTCGGGGCAAGACCGGGGATGACGAGGATGGCTCCACTGAGGAGGAGCGCATTGTGGGACGCTTCAAGGTCAGGCCAGGAGCACGGGCCCAGCCCCTGAGCACCCCTCAGCCCTTGCCCCACCACAGGTTCTCCCACTCACCTCCCACCACTGCCCTGGTCACTCCCTCCAGAAGCCCTGGACTTTCCCATGACTCACCAGCTAAAGGGTGAAAGCCCTGCCACATCAGGGTCCAGCCCTCCCGGTGCCATTAGCTACTTCGAATTCCACCCCTGCCAGGCAAACCTACAGCCTGACCCACATTTGTCTTGCCCAGGGCTCCCTCTGCGTGTACAAAGTGCCACTCCCAGAGGACGTGTCCCGGGAAGCTGGCTACGACCCCACCTACGGCATGTTCCAGGGCATCCCCAGCAATGACCCCATCAATGTGCTGGTCCGAGTCTATGTGGTCCGGGTGAGACTCCGGTCGCTTCCCCTGCTTGCAAGTCTTTCATCCTCCCATCTGAGAGGGACCAAAGAAGCTGCATACTGGCTGGGTGCACTGGCTCACACCTGTAATCCCAGCACTTTGGGAGGCCAAGGCAGGAGGATCGCCTGAGGTCAGGAGTTCAAGACCAGCCTGGCCAACATGGTGAAACCCTGTCTCTACCAAAAATACAAAAATTAGCCAGGTGCAGTGGCACACACTTGTAATCCCAGCTACTCAGGAGACTGAGGCAGGAAAATTGCTTGAATCCAGGAGGTGGAGCTTACAGTGAGCCAAGATCACATCATTGCATTCCAACCTGGGAGACAGAGTGAGACTCTGTCTCAAAGAAAAAAAAAAAAGAAGAAGCTGCATACTGACAGCCCCAGACTGGGAGGCACCAGGGAAATCATTTGGTCTAGCCTTTATCTTTTCTAGAGGAGGAAATCAAGGCCCAGAGAGGGGTAGCCACTTGCCTAGGGTCACAGAGCAAGCCTCCTGACAGGTCCAGTGTTCCTGCCCCTGCCCTTCACTGTCATAGGACCCTCAGGCAGCCTGGCAGGAGCACTGAATATGAGCAGGGCATGGGAGCCTGCTCAGGCAGCCCTCCTCCCCATCCCAGGCCACGGACCTGCACCCTGCCGACATCAACGGCAAAGCTGACCCCTACATCGCCATCCGGCTAGGCAAGACCGACATCCGCGACAAGGAGAACTACATCTCCAAGCAGCTCAACCCTGTGTTTGGGAAGTAAGGCTTCTTGGTGCCCTCCCCTGCCACACCCCAACTTCTCCAACCCAGACCACCTCTCACCCTAGCCGATCCTTAAACCCTTCTAACTCCACCCCCACCAGGTCCTTTGACATCGAGGCCTCCTTCCCCATGGAATCCATGCTGACGGTGGCTGTGTATGACTGGGACCTGGTGGGCACTGATGACCTCATTGGGGAAACCAAGATCGACCTGGAAAACCGCTTCTACAGCAAGCACCGCGCCACCTGCGGCATCGCCCAGACCTACTCCACGTGTGTGGGGCGTGGGGCAGAGGGTGGGGCAGTGTGCCTGCTTCGCCTCCACTCTAAAATGAGATTCAGATTGTGGTGATTTGAGAAGGTAGAAATATTGTGGTTTCTGTCCCAGGCCAGGCCTCTGCCCCTATAGTCCCTGGGCACAGCCTTCAGGGGACAGGACTGCAGATCCCAAAACAAGGAGAGGGCCAGTGGATTGCAGGACAGAGGAGGCAGGATGAGGAGAGACAAGTGGGCTAGGGAAGGTGGGGGCCAGAAGAGGAGGACAGGAAGAGTCCCCTGGGGATCTGGGCCAGCTCTGCCACTTACAGGCTGTGTGACCCTGGCCAAGTCCCTTCACCTCTCTGGTTTTCAGTTTCCTCAAGGGAGTCTCTGAGGTTCCAGAGGAGTGGGCACAGTGAGGGGATGCAGTGGGGCTAGGCTGGGGACACTGATACGTGGTCAAAGGGCCAAGGCAGGAGGGTTCAGCCTCCAGCAGCCCTAGTGTCTCAGGTGAGCCTGGGGCCCAGGGCAGGAGGAATCAGACTCACTTGCTGATGAGGGCAACAGCCAGCTTTAGAGAACTGGCCACAGCCAGCTGTCATCCAGGATGGCTTAGTCCTGCCCAGCCCCTCCAAGCCTGTGTGTCCCCTCCCGCAGACACGGCTACAATATCTGGCGGGACCCCATGAAGCCCAGCCAGATCCTGACCCGCCTCTGCAAAGACAGCAAAGTGGACGGCCCCCACTTTGGGCCCCCCGGAAGAGTGAAGGTGGCCAACCGCGTCTTCACCGGGCCCTCTGAGATTGAAGACGAGAACGGTAATGGGGCACTGGAGGGGGATGCAGCCACCTGCCCCCTCTCCAGCAGGTTTCAGAGGCCAGGAGGGGCCCACACTTCCCTGGGGAACCCCACAGCCTAGCCTGGGGTGTCCTCAGCCTAAGCCTGGGCTTAGTGACCCTCTGCTCATCACCCCAGAGCCCCGCTCCTGTGCCCCGCCTCTGTGCTTCCACTCCTCCTCCAGGGCAGCCCCACCTGCTTTCTCTCTGTCCAAATCCCAGTGAGGTAGAGAAGCTATCTGCATCCCATTCTGCAGATGAACAAACCAAGATCCTAGTTCCAGTGACTTGCCCAAGGTCATGTGGCTCTTTAGAGGCAGAGCAAGGGCAACGGCCCAGGTCCATCCGGCTCTAATCCTTAAACTCTCCTTACTCCTCTGTCCATGAGGCACATCCCAGAGAAGCAGAGAATCGGGAGGTGTCCGTGCTGGTATCTGATCACTGTCAGGTGCTGGGACAGGAAGTGGATTCTCCCCTCCCTGACCCCTCTCTCACAGCCCAGCAGGGCTCTCCCGTCAACTTCCCCAAGCAGAGGACCAAGGGCACAGACCTCTCTTGGCCCTGTGGGGCAGCTGAGACCCTGGGCAAGCCACTTCTCCTTCTATGCCTCAGTTTCCCCAACAGTGAAAAGGAGGTGGGGGAAACAGGTGATGGTATAGGGGCTTCTTTGTGCTCCTAAATCCCTAGTCCCAGCAAAGGTCTCCTGGTTGTGCTGAGCCATATGTGCAGCTGAGCTGCCTGTACCCACAGGTCAGAGGAAGCCCACGGACGAGCACGTGGCGCTGTCAGCCCTGAGGCACTGGGAGGACATCCCCCGCGCAGGCTGCCGCCTGGTGCCAGAGCACGTGGAGACCAGGCCGCTGCTCAACCCCGACAAGCCGGGCATTGAGCAGGTGACACTTGCATGGCCAAGACTGGGGGTCTTGGGTATTGGAGACCAGGGATTCCCAAGCTGAGTCAGTAAAGGTAGAAGCCAGGCCTCATGCTGTCCGCTGCATTCCAGAAAGCCTGGCATGCACCTCCCCACCAAGGCCCCTCAGGATAACTTGAATGGCAAGTGTCTTTGCTTTGAGTGAGAATTACATCAGCTCAGGCAGAGACCTAGGTTGTCTCCCTCAGAAGCTGTGATTGGCTATTGGTGACATCATAGGAATTCCTGGCATCCAAAGATGGAAACTGATGAACTGGGTCCTTGACAGAACAAAGGTTAGGAGGGAGAGGAGAGCTGATCTTCCTGGGCAGAGGGAGAAGACCCTAGGAGATCTGCCACAACCCTCTTCCTCAGGGCCGCCTGGAGCTGTGGGTGGACATGTTCCCCATGGACATGCCAGCCCCTGGGACGCCTCTGGACATCTCCCCTCGGAAGCCCAAGAAGTGAGCGGCTCAGGGCCCAATGCTACTCCCTCCCGGCCCACCCCATCACTTCCCACCACGGCCCAACCCTTCCTGTGGGAGGCTCAGGCCCAGATGGCCTTGGCCAGTTGGCATCTCTGGGGCCTGGGTGTGGCCACTGGGCCTTATAGGGGAGAAACTGATCAACCAATCAATAGAGTTTAGGGCCTGCCCTGGAGAGTCCCCATGCGCTAAGGCAGGACAATGCCTTCCAGCCTGCGTCAGTGAGGGAGATGAGCCCTACACAGCACACTCCGGTGCACTGCATCTGCGTGGTCGACGCACCCATACACATGCATCTCATGCACACACACACACGCACAGCAGAGCACTCCCGTGGGCACTCACACACATGCCCACACTGACGCACTCCTTCACAACACACAGAACCCCTGGGTCGTCCTCACATCCAGGCTAGTGTGATGTTCCGCCGAGTTTTCTTGAAGTGCCTGCCAGTGACGTATGCAGGAGTGAGTGCCTGGAAGAGGCAGGAGGTGGTGGCGTGAAAAGAACGCAGGTTTCCCATCCGTAAAGCGGCAGATTCGAGTCCAGCTGCCAGACAGTGACTGGATTCAGGGCCGGCTTCAGGGATGGAGGAAGCCACACAGGGTCCCACTCTTGTTTCCATTCTCCTGTGTTGCCATCTTGAAATTCTTTGTGACAAGTGGCCCTGCATTTCCATTTGGCGCTGGCCCCAGCAAATCATGCAGCCAATTCTGCCAGGAATGTCCTGGAAACCTGAGGCCATGAGTCGGCTGTTCAGGGCCTGTCATTAGGGGGCACCCAACCCGCTGGGCCACTCTGGGCTCACAGCCCTGTCTGCAATCCCAGGAGAGCCAGGCTCGGATCAATTTTTAGTGAATGACTCAGCCTCACTGTTAATAATTGAAATGAACTACATCATTCGTAATGACAATTAAACCTTGAGGGGAAAATCCTCTTTGGGGACAAGGACATACAGCTTCCATGGGCTTCCATTGCTGGCTACTGGGCTTAAATGCAGACTTCTCTTGGAACTAGCATCTGAGACAGAGGCTGGCTTCCCGCCCCCTGCCCCACGCCACCCCCACCGCCCACAGCCATGTGCCTGGTGGGCCCTCTCATGCCTCTGCCCCGCCGACCCCGAACCACTCTAGCCCCAGCCTGGCCCAGGCGCTGTGCTGACCCCAAGTCTCCAGGGCTCCTCTCTGCCTGCCCCATCCCAGCCCTGGCACCCTGGCATAACCCCCACCCGGGTCTGCTAACTAGCTCTCTCTCCCTGGGCCCAGGTACGAGCTGCGGGTCATCATCTGGAACACGGATGAGGTGGTCTTGGAGGACGACGACTTCTTCACAGGGGAGAAGTCCAGTGACATCTTCGTGAGGGGGTGAGTGAGCAGTCCCTGCATGAGAGGGACTGAGCCGGGCAGGCCCTGCTTCCCGGGGGGCAGGAAAGGAGGCAGAGGGAAGGTGGCTGTGGGTGGGAGAGGTCCTACTGGCCTGGCTGCAGGTCTGGAGATGTGGCGCCCACAGGTGGCTGAAGGGCCAGCAGGAGGACAAGCAGGACACAGACGTCCACTACCACTCCCTCACTGGCGAGGGCAACTTCAACTGGCGCTACCTGTTCCCCTTCGACTACCTGGCAGCGGAGGAGAGGATCGTCATCTCCAAGAAGGAGTCCATGTTCTCCTGGGATGAGACCGAGTACAAGATCCCCGCGCGGCTCACCCTGCAGATCTGGGATGCGGACCACTTCTCTGCCGACGACTTCCTGGGTGCATAGCAGGGCAGGGATGGGGGCTCAGAATCCAGAACTGAGGAGGGGCAGGGGCTGGGGAGGCAAGGACAGGGAGAGCCCCGCCCTGGGGGGACAAGGACAGGGAGAGCCCCGCCCTGGGGGGACAAGGACAGGGAGAGCCCCGCCCTGGGGGGACA